GAGAGAGAGAGAGAGAGAGAGAGAGAGAGAGAGAGAGAGAGAGAGAGAGAGAGAGAGAGAGACTGGGAGGAGGTGTTTGATGCTGGCTATGGCCAGCCAGTTTGGTTCCAGTCAGTAATTACAAATTAGGCTGCTGAACAGATGCTTAGCCCTTCTATAAAACTTCACCATCTTGCCTACCTCCCCTCCTTCCTTTCACTCTACCCACTTGGAACTTCAGTCCCAAGGAAATCATGCGGCAGTTTCAGGCCGTTGTACTCTGCCTGTCTTTGATCAAAGTTGTAAAACTACTTCCTTCTGTCATACGTCTAGTATCCCAACCTCTACGACAACCTGGTTTAAAAAAAGAAAATGGTACGCTGACTCGGGAAGACCCCAAAGGGCCGTATCTTCCCGCCGTGCATATAGGTCAAGACCGTTGTTGTTAAACCACCAGTACTTCCTAAAGTGGCGGCGGTTAACAAGCCACGACAATGATGAACAAACGGGCCACTTGGGGAGCGCCCAAATTCATTCGACTAGAAACGCTTCTTCTCTATTTTTTCCCACGGCCAACGTATGGGCCAAGTACTGGTGGTTTAAAAAAAGGAAAAAAAAGGGATAATTGGTGGAAAGCGCCCACGCAGAAACCTGTTCGGTTTTGGGAGCCCAAAGTTCGGTCGTTTGGTACTACCGGCCCAAACAACTTCCGCCTGGGTGAAAGGTGCCTTCACCCCCGGGCCACAGATCCGTTGGCTTGTTTTTACTGGACAACGAAGCTGGTGCTGTTTCTGCGCCAGATTCATGAACCGGTAGGGCCACTCTTTTTCAAGATACCGTACTTGGGCCTCGTTCTATCTATTAGGGGTACCACCCTCGACCTCTTTTACATGGGAATATAAACAGCACCAGATTCATGATCCGGTTGGGCCCTTGGAGCAACGTGTGGGCCGGTAGTACCCCAAATGGAAAGGTTTGGGCATGTAGTCCCAAACAGACGAACTTCAGGCGCCCAAAACCAAAAAGGTTTTGGCATGGGCGTTCTCCACCAATTATCCCGGAAAAAAGGTCAAGGCCAGGAAGGCCACGAGACCGTTTGGACACAGGGTGCCGCCTGGCTGCAGGAGCATTAAGTCAAGGCAACTCATGCTGGAAGAGGGCAGCATCATGTGGTCATCAGCCTTTGATTAAGGTGCTGATGAGGAGGACTGCCGCCATAGCTAAGGTGTGCTTAGGAAGAGTTGGCCGCCAAAGTTGCAAGGTGCCGAGGTGTACAAGGTGGTGTTAGCAGGGAAGATCCATGGTGAAGACGAAGGCTGTAGGGCAAGAAGACGGTCGGCGAGGGAGGGACTTAACCTGGTGGATGCCGAGCAGAGCTCCAGTGTGGCATGCTCTTCAAGCAGACGTTGCAAGGAGCAGCACATGACTCTGCAGCATAGGCTATGGTGTAGTGTAGGCTAATGTCTTCCCGCGAGCACAATGCACCCACATTATGGCCATATCGGACTGGAAAAACGGCTTGTATACATTCATAATCAGGGTGCGTTATGTTCGGGGGAAGATGGTAGGAGTGCATGTAGAGTAGGAGATCCATTGTACGTGCTGGTAGATACATAGAACAGGGACTATTATTGTTGTACGGATTGTTGCGATGTGAGAAGTCGGCTTCTCCTCATCAAATGGACTCCAAAGCTCAACTTCAAATGTTGTTATTCCTCTGTTGGTGTGATTGATTACTGCTTTGTTCTCCCTTAAACCACCAGTACTTGGCCCAGCTATCGGCCGTGGGAGAAGAATAGAGTAGAAACATTTCTCGTCGGATGAATTTGGGCGCTCCTGTAGTGACCTGTACAATTCCTAAAATCATGGCTTGTTAATGGGCACGCATCTTCATACTCTTCAGTAGCATCATAAGGGACGTTGGGCCCGGTTCCCAGCAAGTGCTGATTCATTCTCTGAACATTATATCTCAGGGGATGCTGGACCCGCTTTCCAGCAGGTGTAGCTCCCCACCAATAGACTGCAGCCCCCTGCAAGACAGAAAGGAGTATATGCTCTTACCATCACTCCTATCTGTTGTCGCAGGTGGAATTTTTTTTAAAAAAAAAAGAAAAAAAAAAGGAAGCACTGGTGGTTCAAATGGCCCTCACGACCCCCCCTGACTCAAAAGTTTTTTTTAATTAAAAAAGAAAGAAAGATCTCTGCTTTGTTGCTCTGCTTCCAGTCTGATCGCGGTATGCATGCTGGTTGAAAGAGTTGGTGATGATTCTGATTCGAATTTCTCCTGGATGGAATACTTGCAGTTTCACTTTTTTGTGTAAAAAAACTTTGAAAAAGAAATTAAAGAATACCAAGGTTTTTGCATATACCAATTTATTCGTTTCAGTGTTTCATGTTTTTTTTTTTTCCTTTTTTTTAACTCACCTGGGTTGATGCTAGGGGAGCTGATAAGAGCAGACCCCTCTAGAATTCCCAGGGAGGCTCCAACTAGTTGGTGGGGAGCTTCACCTGCCGGAAAACGGGTCCAACGTCCCATTACATTGAGCTTGTTTATTGATGAGCCTGAAACACTGTGATGACTGCTGCCTAAGGGTACCTCTTCAACCCACTGAAGGGCGCCTGATCAGCCCTGCTACTCTAGTGCCCTTTAAACAAAACATTTACAATACGTAGTCAAAAAGCATTTCCGTTGTTAGTTCAGCAGGTGGGGTTCTACATTGTCTTTGCCCGTTCCTTACTCCTGCCCGAATCATTGCATTTCTACGATCGTTGTGGCTGCCGGGGGGAACATGTCTGGAAACTCCCTTGGACTCTTCATCGAAATATCGGGATGGACCTGAAGCCACTCGTGAAACTTGAGTTTGTAATCCTTGGTTAGTGCATTGCCTCCCCCTTTGTTCCCTATTTCCTCCGGCCAATCGATATGTGCCATCCTGCCTCCCCTTTCCCCCCCCAGCCAATCTGCGCAAAAGGTACTGATTTATTTAGTGACGTCTGCTTTTTGTGTCAGATGTGCCATCTTTTCGTGAACCTTTTTCCATTGCATTCTTATTTCAGTTTCCAGGAATCGTCAGATTGTTTTTGCCGCTGCCGCTTCCCCCATCCTGGCCCCTTCTTGATCAAATACACATCTTCTTGACCACAGCAGCCAAACCACCGCCTTCCTGGCCATGGCAATCAGATTGTTGGTGAAGCTGGATGCTTGCGGTCTTCCCCATTCTCCTAGCAGGATTGGTTCCCATTTCCATGGCCACTCCTCCTCAGTACCCAGTTGTGACCAAATGCGGTCCCACCAACGCCACATTAGTACCGCCCCTGGGCACTGGAGGAAAATGTGTTCTATTGTTTCACATATTTCACAGCTCGGGAATCCCGCATAGCAGAATTTACACCATGGAAGGGCCTCCCCTTTTTGTTCAAGGTTCGTTCAGTCAATGATCCAGTTGTTGGTGGGGAGGCATGTATGCGTGATTTGCCACTGCAGGGACGCAAATTTCACCGGTCCCTCCTTTACCCCTTTGAACCACTTTATTCCTCTTATCTGATCATCAACCACCTATCCCTTACTCCTGCCTGCACATCTACCCTGGGCCTAATCATCCTGTAAGTGTTTCTTACCGTCAGTCCAGCATGTTTTACTTTTTGCCCAGTCTGGCCCCGCTCCCATTGCCATTCGAGTGGATCCAAGGGTTAAACCGGACAGGGGAACTTCCGGGCGATAAACTCGCTATTCTTTTTTTTTTTTTCTGTCTTACCTCCCTTGTGAATTTGCAGCACCCGGATCCGGTATAGGTTGGCTTTCTCGTGCCACTGGACCGAGTCTGGGCGGTACCTAACCAGATTGTCATCCCCTTTTCTTTCAAATAGACGGTAGCCCCTTCAGGCCTTGCCTCCAACACGCACCCTATTTGTAGGGGTAGGTCCTCTGCCGCGACTACTACCCAGTCTTGTTCCTGCAAGGACAATCATTTTCTCAGGATCACTACCCAGGTTAAGGGTATCGAGAATATCAGTTGTTCCAGCTTGTCTGCCGGGTTGCGGGTGTGTCGTAAACAGGGTCTTAGTTGTT